TACTATATATTACGTTAATTTTATTTTATAAGAATAAAATATCAAATCATATTGAATTAATATAAAATGTTGTATATATGATCTAAGAGTAAAGAACTTTTAATCTAATGATTAAATTTACAAAATTTTTATTTAATATAAAATTATTGAGTGATGTAATACTTAGTAAAAATTATATTGGTATTGTTTGAACTCTTCTCATTTATACTTTATCAATAAAACTATATTTGCATAAACTATAAGTATCAAGTTTCTTTGCTAGTTATTTTTTATAAAAAAATCAAATTGTTCAAATTTTATTATTTCTAATATTTGAAATTTTTTTTAATCTATATAGTTTTACTTTACTTTTTAGTTCTTATAATTTAAAATATATATTTTTAATCTCTATACTTATCTTTTTAATTATTCTTAATTCTATTTAATTTAAGAAAATTTTTAATTTTTATATTTACAATTTAAAAAAAAATATATTTTTAGTCCTTATTGTTATTATTATTTTTTTTAAATTATATAGTTTAAGTTGATGTGATAGAGATATGTGTGAACAGTAAGAAATGTGTATTAACAATAAATGGTATTCCAACAATTACTTGTTGTCAGCCATGGTATACGTTGTCGGAGGGGCATCATGTCCTTTACAACTATGTTTTTTGTTGAAATGTCATCGACTATCATTATCATACAATCTCGTCAAAGCATTCATGACCACTGTATAGTGTATGCCATAGTTGAGAGCACCGTTAACAACCTTTATTTAGTTCATCCTATCATGCAATGAATTTGGAGTCCCATGAAGACGAAGAACCCCTTTGTGGTCCAAACCCACAACACGTCATCTATCTCTTCCCCCTCTTAACCTCTGCCATTAAAACCACCATTCAAAGTTTTAACAATTGAATCCAAAGGTATTGAGGTCATCACAAACTCTAAAATTCACCTTCTGTAGTCCACCACAAACCATTCTTTATCCTACCATGCACGGGACACTCAAAATTTGTAGTTGCACACCCTCTCATACTTCGATTTGCGACAATCTTGTTTAGATACATGGAACTCCCTCACATCGCATCTCAGCAAGTAACAACTGTAAAATCATTCAAAAATTATGCTGGTCAGAAACCAAATTAGAAAAAAGGAAGGGAGGAAGAGATGAATCTAGTGTGAAGGGGTGTAGATAAATCTTTGTTAATTTAGATTAATCTAATGATAAATAATCGTGGACCTCTATAAATCACATTACCTCATTTATAGCCTCCATCATAACCAAATACTTAAATATATTTTCAATTATTTAAACATGAAGTAAATTTAACTTTTATCTCTTAAATTTAAAATTAATTTTTTAGTCTTTACAATTAAAAAATACATTTTATTTTAGTCTTCATACTCATATATTATTATTGAATTTCTCAAACAAAACTTAACTATTATTGAATACGTTGCAGAAAATCCACTTATTTTTTTTATTTATCAATATTGCATGTGAAAACATCAAAATGATGTTACGTTACACAATTAATTCAATGTCACCGTTTATGATGCTACAATCTACATGTTAGGCTTGGGCAAATTTTCTCAAAGTCAAAACTATTCAAAAGTATAAGAGAGACATTGAGTCGGTTTGGATGGTTATTCTTACTAAACAAATAAAAAAGGCAGTTTAAAATAGACTAAAGCAGGTGAGTTTAGTTTGAGAATTTTTTTTTTCGTTGAAAGTGATCCGTAAAAATTATTTTAGATAAAGTAAAATTTTATTAAAATTGATAAAAAAAAAAGTGAGAGGAAAAAAGTTAAAAAGTTGAGTTATTTTATGTAGTCACACCACATGAACCTATGAAAACATTGTAGATTTTTGGTCGAATTTTTTACGAAAGTATAGTTTTTTGATTTTTTTTTTTACTAAAAAAGCACCTGATACAATTTATTTACACACCTAGCACCATTCACTGTTCACACTCAGAATTCGGTTTTCGTGGATTCGAATTCTGAGCTTCAAATTTTATTTTTTTGTGTGATCAGAATTCGGTTTCTCGGGAACCGAATTCTGAGTAATTTTAATTTAATTTTTTTTTTGTTTTTAGCCCAGTTTGCACGAATCTTGGAACTGGAACGGGCCATTCTGGAAGCAGAACGACCCGTTCTTCTTGCACACGTAGAATGTTAAAGCTTAACTCTAAAATGGCCCGTTCTTTGGCCGTTCCATTTTCAAAATTAACATTATATGTGTGCAAGCAGAACGGGCCGTTCTGGTTCCAGAACGGACAATTCCAGTTCCAAGATTCGTGCAAACTGAGCCACAAACCAATTTTTTTTTTAAAAATTACTCGGAATTCAGTTCCCCGGGAACCAAATTCTGATCACACAAAAAAAAAATTTGAAACTCCGAATTCGATTCCCCGAGAACCGAATTCTGAGTGTGAACAGTGAATGTGCTAGATGTGTAAATAAAGTGTAACATGTTTTTGATAAATTTTTTTTAAAAAAATTCCTTTTGGTCATGTCACTTCAATCATTTCTATATTCTTGATGTATGTTTCCAATTTTTGGATTTTCAAACTCACAAACCTTTCCACCATGCTCCTACCAGCATGCCAAAGCCCCATATTTGATCATTTTTTAATACGCAACTCCACCCTCACCTGCATTTTTCACACCTTCTCTTTAAACTTTGACTTTTCCTCACTTTGTTACAACCTACAATTTCTCTTCATGATCTGGGCATATAACTTCCTTGCATGCTTTGGTGCAACAACTCGAAAAGCCCAACTCATTCTTCACCTTCATCAATCATAACTTTTCCATCTCCCAAGGAATTTTCTCGCAATATAATTAATCACGATAACAACGAGAATAATACAAAGTAAAAGTAAGGAAGAATAATGACCAAAAGGAATTTTTTAGTTAAACTTGACGACTCAAGACTTAAATTGATCAGAGTTGGTATGAATTTTTCCTTATTTCAATTTGTACTAAATTTAAAATATTTGAACATGTCGTAACTGATCGATTTACAATCCTACTAATAATTTTTAGAGACAAAAATATTTTTTTTAAAATTAAAAAATTATAAGGAATAATATCTTCTCACATAAATAGAAGCCCGTGTTTCACATTTAAAAAATATAGAGAAAAAAACAAGAAACACCCTGCATCCGCGGGTGTAGGATACCGGTAAACATACAACGAAATATATGTCTTGGTCAATTAAGATATAATAGCACAAAAATAATCCAATATCTTTACATTTTAAATAAACAAGAGACATAAGTATTAAAAAAATAAATCCTGGTAACGTGCATATTTAAGACAAAAGTTTGCTAAACAAATAATTAAATATAACCTATTAAATATTGGGAAAGTGGAATTAATAATTAATAATTAACATGAAAAAAGTGTGGAAAGAATAGGGTGGATGGTTGGAACAGGCTCAGCTGGAAATTTGTTTGATTTGTCCCTCTCCGCTTCAGACCGAACTCCCACTCACTCCCTATTATTTCTCTCTCTTCCAATTCAAGTCAAATCAAATCAAATCAAATCGCAAATAACCACACACACCATTTTCTCTCCCAAATTCACACACGATCGTCGTAATCGATTCCAATGGATCCACCATCGCCACTGCGCCAAAGCGACGTCGCTTCCTCACCACTCTCTCACTCTCACACAACCTTCGACTACGAAACGTCCTCCAGAAGATACCTCCACTCCTCCTCTTCCGACGACGACGTTTCGCCCTCCAATTCCATCCAATCCACCAACCGCCGCCTCGACTACATGCTCCAGTTCCTCGACCGCAAGCTCTCCGCCGACCGCCGCA